ACAATTCTGCTTCAGGAAAACGTGCAGGACAGATCAGAATTAAACACTTTTAAAACCTAAAAAAAACGAAAAACGAAATTTTAAAAAGCAAATTTTTTTTAAACGATAAAACGTTCAAAATAGAAACTTAGAAAGGCTTAAAGTTATATATGCCTTATTTTAAAAATTGAACCTATAATACAGTTTCCGTAAAATACCTTCAATTCTGGCATTTCAAAACTACCAGATAATAAAATCTTGTTTAGATTTATTAATGCAAACTTACATAAACACCGAAGACCATAGACGACCTTTAAATAGTTTCTTAATTGTCATGCAATTAGAAGGCCCGTCAGGACAAGCGGAGGAAAATGTACGCTAGATTGTGACGTGTGTAAGGTAATGTAAGGGAAGGATCTCAAAACCCATCTTAGAGAGCCCAGAGCTGAAAACTTTAGAATGGGATATCCTTAATCCCGTTCGGTTAATTAATCAGTAGATTAAAAAGAAGAGGAGAACAAGCAATATTAAATCTGGAGATTAGGAAACAGAGGAGATCAAGCATTAATTTCAATATCCACCATTCTAAAGTTTTCAGCTCAGACCGCCATCGGGGCTAACTCCACTGAGCTCCAGCATCCCAACGACAGCTTAGACCCGAGCCATATTTTCCCGAATTTTTTAAATCGCGGGCTCAGACGGGTTAGAAGGGCCTCTCCTATGGAAGTTCACAAGTGTTAAATAAGAAGGGAAAAAAGTTGATGTTGAATCGACGTAAATAAACTAGGGAAAAGAAATTTTAAAAAATTAGGATTGGTAGAATTTACTACAGTGAGACGCTTCGGCTTCGAACTTGATAGACTCAAGTTATGATTTTAACTAGTCCAATGAAAATATAACATACTAAGTGTGCAGAGTAAGATTTTTAAAGCTTCTAATAAAACTACTTGCTTCAAAACAGCATCAAACACAAATAAGAATGCTTAAATGTCGTCCTTTTTCTCACAGTTCTGTGGCTACCACTGTATGGTTTACCTGCGTCGGGTTGGGATGAGAAATCCAGTCTTTCAGGACAATGTAGAAAAGTTCTGCATCATAAGCAGGCATCTAAACAAAGAAGATGTGAATTGTTAACAGTTGAAAATTGTACATATTAGGGTAAATTGCAAAGATTGTGAAATTAAGAACTCTATCCTTATCTTTATCTTATAAGAAATGTGAAAGCTAACATATTTTTTCTGACTTTTGATAAGTTTTCCAGTCCAGAAATGCGCAAGGAATTTTTACTCAGAAACCGCCAATTAAAATAAACAGTTTTCAAACACAAAAAACCTGAAGTTCTAATTTAAACTTGATCAGACTAAGCTTTAATTAAGGGTTTCTTTGTAAATCGGGCATAACCATCTTTGCGTGGAGGGTCATTAGAAATTACGCTTAGAAACTCTTTCAGATTAATTATGAATGCTGCAATGTATAATACTGTCCTCTAACCTTAAGCTTAATTATGAATGCTGCAATAATAATACTTCCTTCTAACCTTAAGCTTAATTATGGATGCTGCAATAACAATACTTCCTTCTAACCATATGTTTAATAATGTATGTTGCAATGATAATACTTCCTTCTAACCTTAAGAATTTAATAATGGATGTTGCAATAATAATACTTCCTTCTAACCTTAAGTTTAATAATGGATATTGCAATAATAATACTTCCTTCTAACCTTAAGTTTAATAATAGATGTTAAAATAATAATACTTCCTTCTAACCTTAAGTTTAATAATGTATGTTGCAATAATAATACTTCCTTCTAACCTTAAGTTTAATAATGGATATTGCAATAATAATACTTCCTTCTAACCTTAAGTTTAATAATGGATGTTAAAATAATAATACTTCCTTCTAACCTTAAGTTTAATAATGGATGTTGCAATAATTATACTTCCTTCTAACCTTTATTCTAATTATGGATGTTGCAATAATAATACTTCCTTCTAACCTTAAGTTTAATAATGGATGTTGCAATAATAATACTTCCTTCTAACCTTAAGTTTAATAATGGATGTTCCAATAATAATACATCCTTCTAACCTCAAGTTTAATAATGGATGTTGCAATAATAATACTTCCTTCTAACCTTAAGTTTAATAATGGATGTTGCGATAATAATACTTCCTTCTAACCATAAGTTTAATAAAAGATGTTGCAATAATAGTACTTCCTTCTAACCTTAAGTTTAATAATAGATGTTGCAATAATAATACTTCCTTTGAACTTAATTAGTTTGATGATGGATGTTGCAATAATAATATTTCCCTCAAACCTTGATTTTAATGATGGATGTTGCAATAATAATATTCCCTTCCTGTAGAGTTCCATTATGTACTATTTGCAAAGAGGGATGTTCCAGCATTCGAATCTATAAAGAAGGTCTTTTATTAAATATATAATATACATGCTTTATAATTAATATAAATATTTATATGTCTAAGGATTAAAGATTGACAGCGATTATTATTGTTATTATATATTTTAGTTGTTTCTTTGTCTTTGTCCAATACACGAAAAAACGGCAGAATCGATGGGACCCAATTATTGAAAAGTAACTTAATCGTGACCCTTGGGAAGGTTTATGACCGGTCGACATTAAAAACTTTGTCTAGAAAAAAAACTCAACTGTTTAAAATTTATGGAAATCCGTAAATGTACACATAAAAATCAGCAACATTTTAGTTTTATGAAGTTCGAAAAAAATGGCGGCTCCAAAAACAACATTATAAACTATAATTGTTACTAGATAAACAGTCGCAAAGATCTGTAAAAGTTGCCCTTATATCATAATCATGCAAAATATAACCTGTTTTCCCTCTGCTGTGTACATGATGAGATCGTGAAGGAATATGTACTCCATCTTCCACCCTGGACAAAACCTCCAGTTGCAGTACAATAAGCTTTCAGTATTTTTGTTCAATCCTCGTACATTTGTATACAATGTAAATTACAGTCTCAAAATGAATTCAGGGTTAACATTTTTTTAAACATTTTTATTTTCGATAAACAAAAAATTTCTTTACAATACTACAATGCATTAGTCAGGACTTCACTCGCCGAACCCAGACCGAAATATATTTTCAATAAATGTGGAACTAACATCTATTTTTTTACTCTACAGAGGTTTGGTCCATCACCATCACCGAATTTTAAATCAGTTTGGATCCATTAGCCGTGTACAGATATTTTCAAATGAAGGAGGAAGTTTTTTATTATAATAATTGTGCATGAATATGAGAATGGTCAAAGTATGGATATTATCAAATTTAAAAATTTTAAGCTGAGAGAAAATAGGATCACTATGTGATCTGAAATTCTTTTTATTAACCGCTCTAACTGCTCTTCTAAGTAAGATTTTAATTTTATGCAATATAGAATTTTTGGCAGATCCCCAGGTTATAATTCCATACTCAATATGAGATCTTACAAGGACATTGCAGATAAGTATGCCAATATTAAACGGCCATATATTTTTTACTTGATTTAGGGAAAAATTGACCCAGCAATTATGTTGGAGATACTTGTAATTTGATGATATCAGGTTAGGTCTTCATCAAGTTTTATTCCTACAAATTAAAAAAATTTGGGTTTACAGTCATGTCATCTCCGTTCCAAGTTTTCATTTCCAATTGTTATTTTACATTTACCTTCTTTAATTGGCATATTTTTAATCCTAAAAATAATATATTTTGTTTTGAATATTTAAAGTTACCAATTTACTTGAAACCAGATTGAAGTATTTTCTAATTCTTTACTAGTTTCATTGATCATTATTTCCGTATTGGAAGATGTTTACAGAAAACTTGTGTCATCTGCGAACAGATTGGTGAAAAAAGATATATCATTTATGTAAATAAGAAATTATAATGGTCCTAAAACACTCCCTTGTGGTACTCCACATAAAATTTCTCTTTCTGAAGAGGAACGACCATCAAAAAACAAACAAAGATTCTTTGCAACATCATGAACTGTACGTTTTGTAAGATCTTTTATAAACTATGATGTGTTCAGAGTGTTCATACTCGAGATGTTCTCCAGCTTGTCCTACAGAGAAATCCTATCTTCAATCTACTAATCCTACATATCTCTACAAATGCATCGAATCTACAAATACGCTTGATGTCCAAAATGTTTGATATAATCTGAGATTTTCATGTAAAAACATTTCAAAAGCCTGTTTTAAATCATGAATTTGAGTATGATTTTATGATTGTAGGAATGATGGAAAATTGGTTTTAAAACTGTAAATAAGTTTTAAAACTGCTGAAAAGTCTAGCCCATGCTTGAACTATGTTTAAATGCTAAAAAGTCCAGCCACTTCTTTTTAAAAATATTTTGTCTTGTCTTCCAGACCACAATGATTCTTATGACCTGCTTTCATGTCTCTTTCCCCAGGTTTATAAATCTTTTATATAAATATTCACATGGAAACTTTTTACACCATGTTGCTTGATTGTCTTCTAACGGATGGTTATATAATATGTATAGATTTGGTGTGATATTTGTAATTCCTCCCTCAAAAGTTCCATGCACGTCTCCATGCACTGAACCAGGTGATTAATTATCAACATTCAAAGTTGAGCTTGAATAATTTCCTAAAAACTCAAAACTACTTCAACAAAATTCTCATGATAGGCTTGGGTTGAGTTTCTGTTGATTTCCAAGCTTGAATCCTCTCTGCTGACTCGCGGATATGATGTACCCCTCAGCAACATGCAGATGAAGATAATATCTTCTCCTCTCACCTAATATTCTATACAACCTGAGTCTGGGACAAATCAACATAAAGGTGAGGAGCAAAAGCTCATAAACTTTGAGCTTTTAAACTCCGTCTAGAGACAAAATTTTACTTAGACCTCTGTTGTCAAGAACACAATTTCAACGGAAGCTGAGTGTTCCTGAATCTCTAGAACTCTTGGTTTGAGTTCTCTGCTGCCTATGTCAGTCTCTACGAGTAGTTTCTCTCTACGTAAACAAGACTCCCATCTCAATGGAAGCAAAGTGTTCCTATATCTCTGAATGCTTGGTTTGAGTTCTTGCTACCTCTGTCAGTCTCTCAGAGTAGTTTCTCTCTCTAGATCTCTATCAACCACGACTTGGTTGTTCTGCACCCCTCCGATACCTCCAATGGAAGGACCCTGAACAAGATTTGCTACATCCTGATACTGTATCCCAGATCTAATGCTCCTCCTCTTGATCGAATACAAGTACTAATCTAGATTATGATCATTGTGATCAATGTGAGAAAGTTATTACTTGAAAAAGAATATTTGAAAAGACGTATAACAATCTCATCTCAACTATAACAAGCTTATTTTTAGTTCTCATACCCGAGACTGTGGTGCATTCTAAACAGACTATGGGCTACAAACCTCCAAAAATATCAACATTGTAAGTGAACTTTTAAATGCATATAAATTTGTTTTTAGCCTGGAAAAAAGTTTGTATTTATGGCTGGCATTTTTATTGTTGTATGCGATTAAAATAACCATGGACTGATTTATTGTGTTATCAGTTCACGGTTGACCATTGTCTAAACTGCCTACCTAAAATATATATCAGTGCTAATTGTGGTGAACCGAAGAAAGAGTTTATGCTTGCTCTTATGTTTGAAGCAACATTGCCTAGATTGCTAGAGGTAAAATGAGCACACATTTCTAGCATTAACATGTACAACGGCAACAGTGAGTCATTTAATGTTAAAAACATACCATGTAAAAATGTGTTACCATTGAAGTATAGTCTTTTTTTCTCTTCATTTTATCGTAAAACGTCTGATCCTTATGAAAAGGACCTGGCATGGCTCAGGGTGTACTTGTTACTGGTCAGAGTATATTAGTAGCCTATTAATCTTTTTCAAATTTTAAACTATTTTTTCAAACTAAAGATATAAAATGTAAAGACTTTGAGAATAATTGAACTGAGTTTTTTTTTTTTTTTTTTAATTATAAAAATCAATGGAGCTCTTTTGCAGCCCCAAACCAAATATACGATATACGTTGAATAAAAAAAAAAAAAATTTTCCACCAAGACGGCTTAGTAGACAAAATTTTAATTGTACTTAGATAAGACACTCGCAACTAAAAAGGATAAATACAACACGGCGCCTGGAGTTAAAAATTCATTTAAATGATACAATTTTAAAATCTGAGATGTTTTGTTCCTTTTCTTGCCAGTTTTATTTTCCATGTCCTGCAACTCACTGGATCTGCCAAATACGCCTCAATCTAAAACACAACATAAACAATAAAAATAAACTCCTGTAGTTTAAACCAATTTTTAAACCAATTTTTAAACCAATTTTTAAGCCAATTTTTAAACCAATTTTTAAACCAATTTTCGGTTTTGGACATCATGTTCAAAACAAAAAAAAACAAAGATGAAAACCTTATAAAAAAACCCAATATTTTTGTTCCTAAGATGCAGCGCTTCCCTTTATAAAAAAAACATTAAAAAGAAAATTATGGTTTTAGTTAATTTTAAGAAAATGCACATATAAAAACTTTATGAAATGTCCTTCATTTCCGTTTATTAAAACAGGGAACAAGTTTTCATTAAAAGGTAAGGAAAGATTGGTTATCTGTTTTCAAGGAAGAAAATATTTGACATTATCTTCTAGATAATAAAGCTCTTCGCTCATGTATATTTGGTTGTAGATATGTTAGCTACTGCTTGCCAAACGGCTGCTGGACCGAATGGGCTGAAATTTTTTTAAGGGAACCCATGGGTTGGGTATCCTGGGGTAACATGGGTTAAAAAATCTAATCTTTTAACTTATTTTTTTTAAATTCGAATATTTTAAAAATTCCACGGGCATTGGGGAACACCGGATAGCTAGTTAGTCAAATAAAGGTTTAGGATATTATTATAAATTAGGGAAAGTTAATCATTTAAAAAAAAGGTCAATTAAAAAATATTAATTTGATTTAACCTTAGAAACGTAAAATGGAATGTTGACACTGGTTGGGGTATTTACTTCCAACTTCGGCCATAATTCTTCAAGACTCATTGTTAATGCTCCACGTTATGATGCTGTTATTCTTCAATTAGAGTTAGGATGATGTCATTCTTCAAATAGAGTTAGGATGCTGCCATTCTTTAACCAGAATTAGGATGCTGTTATACAAGAAGAGTTAAGGTTCTCTTATTCTTCAAACGTAGTTAGGAATAGGATGCTGTTATTCTTCAAACAGATTTAGGACGCTGTTATTCTTCAAAAAGAGTTAGGAAGCTGTTATTCTTCAAACAGAGTTAGGATGCTGTTATTCTTCAAGCAGAGTTAAGATGCTGTTATTCTTCAAGCAGAATTAGGATGCTATTATTCTTCAAGCAGAGTTAAGATGCTGTTATTCTTCAAGCAGAATTAGGATGCTATTTTTCTTCAAACAGAGTTAGGGTGCTGTTATTCTTCAAGCAGAATTAGGATACTGTCATACTTGAAGCAGAGTTAGGATGCTGTTATTCTTCAAGCAGAATTAGGATGCTATTATTCTTCAAACAGAGTTAGGGTGCTGTTATTCTTCAAGCAGAATTAGGATACTGTCATACTTGAAGCAGAATTAGGATGCTGTTATTCTTCAAGCAGAATTAGGATACTGTCATACTTGAAGCAGAGTTAGGATGCTGTTATTCTTCAAACAGAATTAGGATGCTGTTATTCTTCAAACAGAATTAGGATACTGTCATACTTGAAGCAGAGTTAGGATGCTGTTATTCTTCAAACAGAATTAGGATACTGTCATACTTGAAGCAGAGTTAGGATGCTGTTATTCTTCAAGCAGAATTAGGATACTGTCATACTTAAAGCAGAATTAGGATGCTGTTATTCTTCAAACAGAGTTAGGATGCTGTTATTCTTCAAGCAGAATTAGGATACTGTCATACTTGAAGCAGAGTTAGGATGCTGTCATCCTTCTTACAGAATTAGGATACTGTCATACTTGGAGCAGAGTTAGGATGCTGTCATCCTTCTTACAGAATTAGGATACCTGAAACGACTGAAATCATTAAACCGCAATAAAATAGCGTTTTATCTCTAATTCTACAATCTTGAAACTGTTTTCTTTAAACACTTTTTCATAAAACGCACAAAAGAGCTTAATATTTATCTGGTTAAATTATGATCGAAGTCGCAGCTTGATGACACTATCAGTGTGACCTGGTAATCCGGAGAAATATATTGCCTAGCATGACTAAACAAGTCGCCACAAAAAAAAATTAAAAAATTTAAAACAGATAATTTAAAAATTTTACAGATAATGTTTCTATATTTTAAAATTAAAGCAATGTTTTTAAAATATTCAGCACAATGTCAACTAGTGAAGTTTGACATCCTTTCCAGTTTCAAGCAATTTACATTTTACAAGTATATGGTTGTAGTCAGGGGTGGATACAGGGGGGGGGAGAGGACATTCACACAACCCATGACGGATTCAGAGGGGTAGCCCACCCCCATGAGATCCCAGAATAGTTTCTCAATATCATTAAAGGGAAAGAGAACCTAGTGCAAAACAGGAAAAACATCTATCTTAAAAAAATAAAATCTGGATTTTTTAGTTCCGAAATAAATCTAGCACCCCCCTCACTTAAATCCTGTATCCGCCCCTGTGTGCAGTACGCATGTATATTTTGGCACGTGGGCACAGCATAAAAACGGTATTCATCTTTCCCATCCGCGAATTGTTCATGTCAGAAGTCCAACAATGGAAAATTCAAGTTTCTGATGGTATCATTATGGATTCAGAAACCATGAAAATACAAGGAGAACCAGAAAATTCTAGAATAGGTAGAAGACTCTTAAAATAAATTACTGACTTTAAATAGCCTCATGAACTTGAGACACAGTCAATAGCCATTACATTGTTCAATGTTAACAGACTAATTGTACTGGATAAATTATAGCAAGTTTCTAAAATAACTACAATTGCTTTATAACAACATAAAATTTACTTTATTTTTTTATTTAGCGTCGTCTTCCTATTCCAGTTTTCAAGTTCTCACTTGAAGAAACCCCTGTCCTAAGTATGCTAAGGTTAATTTTTTATTTAAATATCAGAAATAGTTCAAACCTTTAAATTCTTTTTTTGAATTTTTGACACTTACGTATCTTACTGATTACGTTCTCACAAAACCATGCCATGAAGTTACTACATGTACATCAGGTACAACTTTATTGTGAATCTTTGTTTACATTTTTGTGAGCTCCATTTTGTCGAATTCGATCTGAAAAGTACAAAAAAAAACATTAAATTTTAATTCTGAAAAAATAATTTATTTAAATTTTTGATCAAAGATGTATATTATCTTTATAATAAAATAGTTCAAAATGCAAAATATAGAATATAAGGGTTGATAAAAGTTCATGGTAGGACCAACATTTGCTAAATAAAATATGCTTCTTCATCAAAAATAGATGTGATCAAGGCGTAACATTCATTAATAAATTTAGTGGGAAAAATCAAGGCATGCGAACAAAATTCATGTTAAATTTAAATTTGTGTGAAGAAATAAAAAAGTTTTAAAAAATACAGAAAAATACTGGAAATTTTAAATGTATAGTGTTCTCTACTTTTATCAGAGAGAGATCAGAATAAATAAATCTTAGATAAAACATCATGAGAACATTATTTTACAGTGTACACACAATACTGTACACTGTACACTGTACACACAATGCACAGTGTACACTGTACACACAATACTGTGCAGTGTACACTGTACACACAATACTGTACAGTGTACACTGTATACACAATACTGTGCAGTGTACACTGTATACACAATACTGTACAGTGTACACTGTACACACAATACTGTGCAGTGTACACTGTACACACAATGCACAGTGTACACCGAAAGTAAGAGATGCGAGTCCACATGAGTAACAATTTCAAAGCATAAACTTAAAAAACGGTTTAAAATTATACATTGCACATGACCGAGCTTGAACATTGTACAATGTAAAATGTATATTTACAAGCTGGGTCCAGGGAGTAAGGATCTTGAACTAAAAAGGTTGATTACTTAATGAGACCTTTCTCCTTCATCTTTCTGAATTCAGCGTAGGTAGCAGGTTTCCTTGGCATGGACGAACCACCACCAGTTGGAGATCTTTCTCGGACATCAGTTAATGATCGTGGAATCTCCCGCTCTCTTAATCTTTCCGGATATTCGCGACTACGGCTGTAACCATCTGGCGAGAGTGGAGCACGGCTGGACGACGGCCGAGCGTCTGAGTAAGGCGATGCGTATCGATCTGTTTGACGATTGCGATCATAATCCCTCGGCGATTGAACTCTACCGTGCCTAAAATATAAAAAAATTAGTTCAGAATTGTGGAAAATTTTAAACTATTGTATAAAAATAAATAAACGTAAACATATCTGTTTATATGTTACCGTTATTCAAATATTTAATCAATTAAGTATTATTTTATTGGAAGGAATGATGATATTAAAATATTAAAAAATGAGAGTAAACACAATAATAAGGAAATTCTTGCCTCCTTCCCTCTGCACTTGTCATATCAAATGATGAAAAGTATGTAGGGTTAAATATAACTTATCAACCCCTGCAAACCTGTGTGGTTCCCTATGAGAGGATCGAGGTCGTTCCATTCGGTCACGTGAATCAACTCTACCAGGTGATCTACGATTGTAGACGGGTTCCTCTTTAATTCTGTGAACCCTAAACAGAAACAAACACTCATCATCTGGTGAAAATAACATACCTCCAAAAGTGGATAAATATATGAAGGGTCAGTTATTATATGTATTGTGTACATCAATTAAAGGGAGTGTTCATGAACACTGTTGGCAAGGGAGTCAGGTATAAATTTTTAAGAATTTTTAAGAAAATGATTTATAAGGTCGGGG